TATTATAGTATTGTTGGGGTATTACAGTATTGTTTGAGTATTATCATGTTTTTGGACCATTATAGTATTGTTGGAATATTACATTATTGATGGGGTATTATAGTATTTTTGGAGTATTATAGTATTGTTGGAGTATTATAGTATTGTTGGATCAGAAGGCTTTCAGACCCCCTTCACTTTTTGCAGTTGTGTTCTGTTGAAGCCTGACGTTACAAACACAATTTTCCTTTTAGTCTACAAACCGGATTCCAAAAAAGTTGGGACACTAAACAAATAGTGAATAAAAACTGAATGTAATGATGTAGAGATGGCAAATGTCAATATTTTATTCGGAATATAACATAGATGACAGATCAAAAGTTTAATCTGAGTAAATGGAACATTTTAAAGGAAAAATATGATGATTCAAAATTTCACAGTGTCAACAAATCCCAAAAAAGTTGGGACAAGTAGCAATAAGTGGCTGGAAAAAGGAAATTGAGCGTATAACGAACAGCTGGAAGACCAATTAACACTAATTAGATCAATTGACAACAGATATGGTATAAAAAGAGTTTCTCAGAGTGTCCGTGTCTCTCAGAAGCCAAGATGGTAAGAGGATCACCAATTCCACCATTGTTGCGCATAAAGATAGTGCAGCAATACCACAATGGTGTTACCCAGCGTAAAATAGCAAAGACTTTTAAGTTGTCATCATCGACCGTGCATAACATCATCAAAAGATTCAGAGAATCTGGAACAATCGCTGTGTGTAAGGGTCAAGGCCGTAAAACTCTACTGGATGCTCGTGATCTCTGGGCCCTTAAACGTCACTGCACCTCAAACAGGAATGCCACTGTCAAGGAAATAACAGAATGGGCTCAGGAATACTTCCAGAAAGCATTGTCAGTGAACACAATCCACCGTGCCATCCGCCGTTGCCAGCTGAAACTCTACAGTGCAAAGAGGAAGCCATTTCTAAGCAAACTCCACAAGCTCAGACGTTTGCACTGGGCCAGGGGTCATTTAAAATGGAGTGTGGCAAAATGGAAGACTGTTCTGTGGTCAGATGAGTCAAGATTTGAAGTTCTTTATGGAACACTGGGACGCCATGTCATCCGGACCAGAGAGGACAAGGATAGCTCAAATTGTTATCAACGCTCCGTTCAGAAGCCTGCATCACTGATGGTATGGGGTTGCATGAGTGCTTGTGGCATGGGCAGCTTGCATGACTGGAAAGGCACCATTAATGCAGAGAACTATGTTCAGGTTCTAGAACAACATATGCTCCCATCTAGACATCATCTCTTTCAAGGAAGACCCTGCATTTTTCAACACGATAATGACAGACCACATTCTGCAGCAATCACAACATCATGGTTACGTAGGAGAAGGATCCGGGTACTGAAATGGCCAGCCTGCAGTCCAGATCTTTCACCTATAGAGAACATTTGGCGCATCATAAAGAGGAAGGTACGACAAAGAAGGCCCAAGACGATTGAACAGTTAGAGGCCTGTATTAAATGGTAAATGGACTGTATTTATATAGCGCCTTTCTATCTTATTTCAAGATACTCAAAGCACTTTACACTACAATCTGTGTCCTCATTTACCCATTCATACAGCACTCTACTAGATCTCTACAAAGCTAATTTAACAAATCATTCTAATGAGACTAATCAGAACTTTATCACATTCATACACCGATGGGACACAAATCAGAGGTTATGATGGGTTCAGTGTCTTACCCAGGGACACTTCGGCATGTGACTGCTGGTGGATTTGAACCCCCGACTCTTGCATTGGAGGACGACTGCTCTAACCACTCAGCCACAGCCGCCCCGTATTAGACATGAATGGGAGAGCATTCCTATTTCTAAACTTGAGAAACTGGTCTCCTCTGTCCCCAGACGTCTGTTGAGTGTTGTAAGAAGAAGGGGGGATGCCACACAGTGGTAAAAATGGACTTGTCCCAACGTTTTTGGGATTTGTTGACACCATGAAATTTGGAAACAACAGATTTTTCCCTTAAAATGATACATTCTCTCAGTTTAAACTTTTGATGTGTGATTTGTGTTCTATTCTGAATAAAATATTAGATGTTGGCACCTCCACATCATTGCATTCAGTTTTTATTCACAATTTGTTCAGTGTCCCAACTTTTTTGGAATCCGGTTTGTACATTCCCGTATTCCACATACCCCATAATGACAAACTGAACAAATAATTTTGTAAATGTATTTTAAAAATATGGCTGAAATACTACATGTACAGAAGTATTCAGGCCATGATTTAGTACTGAGTTGAAGCATATCTAGCAGCAGTTCCAGCTTTGAGTCTTTGCAGGTTTGATGCAACAAACTTTGCTCAACTGGACTGGGGGATTTTCTGTCATTTTTCCATTACAAATCCTCTCAGGCTCAGTTAAATTATATGGGAACAACGGGGGGAGCTATTCTAGGTTTTTCTAGAGATGTTCAATAGGGTTCCAGTCAGGGCTCTGGCTGGTCCACTCAAGGACATCCACAGAGTTGTCTCCGAATCACCAGTGTGTCTTCTCTGTTTTGGGTCGTTGCCATGTTGGAAGGCAGACCTTCAGTCTACTCTGAGGTCATGAGTTCTGTGGAACAAGTTTTTTAAGGATATTTTGCGCCATCTGTTAAGTCTCCCAGTCCCTGCATCTGACACCCCTGCTGACCTGATTAATTTATTTCTGTGTAAAATAAAATAATCATATTCTAAATGCAGAGAAGCTCAGATCATGGTTTGCTACAATTCACATGGCTGTGGGTTTATGCCTCAATGAAAGGTATTTATGTCATACGGTTGAAGAATTTGCATTTATTTTAAGTTTTCCAAGAGTATTTTTGTCCAAATTACAATTACTTTCCTGTTCTAATCAATTATGACCAGACAATGAAAATACTGAAATACTTTAGACTTTGTTCAAAGTGATCACTGGTTTGTTGACAGTCTGCCTGACTGGGGTCCTTCATCCCTCAGTCAAGGTGATAAAGCAGAAGAGGAAGCAGTATGCACACAATCTCAGCTGAGTAGTTTGACACAGTGAATGATCGTGCAAAATGAGTTATGTCTTAACTAAATAACAGAAACCGGTTTCATTTTGCCGTTGTGTTCAGTTCCAAATGAATAAATAAAAAGAGACACGTTCAAAAAGCTTTGAAATCTGTTCTTGTGTTTACTACAAGCTGCGCCTCAACATCAAGAACACAGAAATTTAAAGAAATAGCTTGAAGGGACATCCCAAATGACAGGAAAACTCTCAGCCTGTTGTTTCTATTCTTAGCTTTTGTTTGGATTGTACAAATTAAATCCACCGTCCATTCAGGGAGATTTGGCGGTTGTTGGTAGGAGGATTTTGTTTTCTTGAGAAAAAAGCCAAGCCCTGCATTTCTTCTACACCCGGGCTTCATATAAAGCTATAGGATTAGCTGTTACCAACAGCCATGGGAACATGTTTGGGGGGTGGGTAAATTCCTATAACCCTTACACATCCATAATACTGGATGAACGGCACAGTAGGAGTAGGAGAGCATGTTAACTCATCTGAAAACGGCTATTAAAAATGTTTACAAAATGGCAATAATGACCTAAAGTTCACTATTTGTGTCTTAAGAGGTTTGCAAATTTACTTCTTCTTTCAGCAAATCACTATTCAGGGGTCACCACAGTGAGTCATTCTCCTCCATCTCACTCTGCATCCTCTGTCCTCACTCCAACTACCTCCATGTCCTCTCTAACTGCATCCATATATCTCCTCTTAGTCTTTTTCCTGGCAGCTGCATTTCTAACATCCTTCTACCAATATACCCACTGTCCCTCCTCTGGACATATCCAAACCATCACAGTCTGGCCTCTTTAAATTAATCTCCCAGTTCTTCAACCCTGTGTTGACCCTTTTGTCAAAAATCATTCCTGAAACTTTTCTCCATCCACTCCATCCTGCCTGGACTCTTCTTCACCTCTTTACCACACTCTCCATTTTCTTGGACAGTGGACCCCAAGTACTTGAAGTCCTGCACCTTTGTGACCTCTGCTCCTTGTAGCCTCACTGTTCCACCTGTCTCCCTCTCATTCACACATGTACTCTGTCTTACTAAGGCTGACTTTCATTCCTCTTCTTTCAAATGCATACCTCCACCTCTCCAAGTTCTCTTCCACCTGTTCCCTGCTCTCACCACAGATCACAATGTCATCTGCAAACATCATCATCTGTTGGTCGGTCCATCACCAGAGCAAACAAGAAAGGGCTCAAAGCTGATCTTTGATGCAATCCCACCTCCACCTTGAAGCTGTCACTCCTACAGCACATCTCACCACTGTCCTGCTGTCCTCATACATGTCCTGTACCAATCTAACATGTCCTGCTGTCTTCATACATGTTCTGTACCTGTCTAACGTGTCCTGCTTGTCCTCACACATGTCCTGTACCAGTCTAATATGTCCTGCTTGTCCTCATACATGTTCTGCTTGTCCTCATACATGTCCTGAACCAGTCTAACATGGCCTGCTGTCCTCATACATGTCCTGTATCAATCTAAAATGTCCTGCTGTCCTCATACATGTCCTGTACCAGTCTAACATGTCCTGCTTGTCCTCATACATGTCCTGTACCAGTCTAACATGTCCTGCTTGTCCTCACACATGTCCTGTACCAGTCTAGCATGTCCTGCTGTCCCCACATATGTCTCTGCCACTCCAGGATTTCTCTTACAACAACACATCTCCTCCCTCAGCCCCCTGTCATGTGCTTTTTTCCTAAATCCACTAAGACAAAATCAATTCATCACATTTATTTCACCAAATGTACAGGGATCTGTACACAGAATATTTTCCTGGTTGCAGTGCAGGAGAGGAAAAAGGAAAAGTTCTTAATAAGAGAGGCAACTGGGGAAAAGCAAGAACTTTGTTCTGACAGCACAGAATCTCCAACCAGAGGGTAATTTACAAAAAAAGGTTGTTCTGGGTGATTTGGGTCCTGTCCTATCTTCCACAACCATCTCATGACCCTGGAACTGTACGGATCCATAATTGGTTCTTGCTATTTTCCAGTGAATTTACTGCCCGCCTTGAAGATGTGATGAAGTAGATGTTTGTGGGCATGGAAGCCAAGTTAAAACGCTGAAAAGAAGGTCAGGACACACTCAGTGGTGGCTCTGTAGAGCTGGACATGCACTTCTGTGAGATGTTTAATTTTGTAAGACTCCTAAGTGTCTGCATCCTGCTGTCAGCCTTCTTAACAACCTTTAAATAAAGTTCTTTCTGACCCTATCCATCAGCATCTTCAAAGCAAAGATGGTTTCTGTGGTGCTCTTTCTCAGCATGAAACATACTGCTGCTCACAGTTATCTCATCTGCATACTAGATTTACTAAATTCAAACATATCAAAATGTTATTGAAATGTAATAATGTCCAGCACTAATAAATTATGTTTAAATTATTTTTTAATTATTCATTTCTAACTACGCATTTGGACATTGCGTGCCCTCTGGCATGCACCTGGGGGTGTTACAGCACCCTCTGCACCGTTACTCCCCACGGCCTTGACTGTATGTTTACAATTTTGTCATCAAGCATCAAATTCCGCACAGTGAATGTCCAAACCCTTTCAAGCAGAGCTCTAAGTGACTGCTTGAGTTTGTTGAAACAATTTGTACCTGACGGCTGGAGAAGATGAACACCAGGGCGGCTCCAGCAGCAGTCAGACCCCAGGTGAACAGAGTCCCCAGCAGGGCCTGGGTCATAGGGCTGTAGCCTTCCAGCATGCTGCCACATCTAAATAAAGAACACACATGGTCATGGCAAAAGAAAATTGCACTAGAAATGCCACTAAGAACTTCTTTTCATGCTTACAAAGTAAAAACAGAAGCACTTCAATGCTTTTAGACAATCTTACAAGGCTAGGAGGAAATACTGTCCCTATCTTGAGGCCTAAACTTCAGATAAATTCACACTAGAAAAGCAAAATAAGTGCATGACCTTCAAAAAGTTAGTGTCAGTCTATGACGGCCAAGGATCATCAAGACTGAAAAGTAACAAAACAAAAAACAGAAACGAGGGATAAAAAAAAACAAGACTGACTCCTCTAAAGTCAACACGTCTCTAAAATGTTAGTTTAATGCTCTGATACACACCCACTCTGTTTGTTTCAACTTAAAGCAAATAAACATCCTGTTTGCTCGAGGTCAGAAGATCCTGGGTTTCTCTATTCACCTCCCTCAGGTCAAACACACTGTGAGCCGAGTCAATCCCCAGCGATGTCACACGATGGGTGCGTTCTAAACTGTTATCTGTGCACAAAACTGATCAAACACACTTGTTTTAAATCAAGTCTCTGGCATTTGCCATGGCTAACTCTTGTGAAACAATAGTAGATTCTTTCAAAATAAGTTTGTGTTAATTGGTCAAACCTGCAAACGAAGCAGAATAGAAGTGTCCCAGTTGCAAAAGGAGTCCAAAGACACTGTCAAACTACTCATATAGAAAAAGGAATAGCATTTTCCAAATATACGTAATTCAGAACAAGCATCTTATTGATAAGAAAAAGATCAAATCTTAAAAATAAAAAAAAGTTTTGGAAAATAAGACTTATTATGTGTTCCTCTGATGCGTCCACATCAGTATCTAGCAGAATGTGTCGAGCGTGTCTGTTGATAATCTGGTGTTCGGTGGCGCTGCCCTCCAGGCGACTCAATCAGAAAGCCAAGACACGACTAATACAGGCCTCGACTTTTGCTGATAAACTTTGTTTAAAATAATAATACTAACAATAATAAAGTGTTATGTGTTGTAATCTTTGTATGTTCCCATACAATGGTGAAATTGGCTCTCTGCATTTAACCCATCCACCCCCATGTGGAGCAGTGGGCAGCTACTGAAGGCACCTGGGGAGCAATTGGGGATAGGGTGTGCTGCTCAGAGACACTTGTGCAATGACTGGGGATCGAACTTGGGACTTTCGGGTCCTGAGTCAGCTGCCCTGCCTCTACCCTGTAGTATGTCATATACTGGATATTTTCATACTTTTTCACGAGTTCTTCATTTTTCTGACTGTGTAAATGTCGTGCATTGAATTTAACAGAAATGCGAACGAGAGACGTTATTATCTTTGACCCATCAAAATGAATGCGGTCATTTATTTTCAGAATCAAAGTTTAACATCAAACATTTACATTAATTTGGCAAAATATGAAAATAATAACAGACAAGTTTCACAGATAATGGACATCAATCACACGGCGGTGACTGAGGACTTTGCTTCAGATATTTCTAAAATATCTGTACTGATTTTAGGAGAAAGGAGAGTTTAAGATGGAAATGGAGATTTATCTTACAGAGAGATGTGTGAGGGAATTAATCTGTTTGACCAGAAACGTGCACGCTCCTTCAGATCTCAGCTTGCGACGGTACGCTTGGTCGAAGTAGAAACCGTTACCTGGTTGATGATATATCAGCGTCGGTATAGGATCCTTCCTTGACTCTTTCAGCGTCTCCGTTGAGAGCAGCTGAAATCCTTAGAGAGTCGTGCGAGATTATCCAAACAGAAGTTATAATCCCAAAACGTCTCTGCATCTGGATCTTTTAACTCTCTTCATGAGTTAGAACTCTGTTTCACTCTTACACTTTAACTCCATCACTCTTCAGCACTCTAGCACTCTCTCCGAGCAGAACCGGGAAGTTGCCACATTTTAAATGAGTTGACTTCCGGGTCAATTTAGAGCTTTCTGATTCGTGGATGGACCAGAATAGAGGTGTGGTTTGTGACGTAAGATGTTATCAAATTCAAGGGCAGAGAATGAGATTGTTTAAAAACAGACAGAAAGATTATTGCAGAAAACCAGACTTCGTGGAGTCAAACTCTTCTGTATCTTCTGTAAAGATTAAACATGACATTTCTTCTCGGTAAACATTTTAGTTGACCGAAGCCTGAACCTTAACATACTTACAAAACTTGCTCATTGAAGACAGAAAATCAAGAAATGCATATTAACCTGATTTCTTCTTTGAATGAGGAATAAAAATCATTACTTACTGTTTATGTAAAATAAAAATGAGTAGTTCTCTTCAACCTGTAAGCATTGAGTGAACTAACACAATTTGATTATCAAACATTTGTAAAATAGTAATGATCATAGAGGATTGTCTTTTCTGCTTGATTAATTCAAGAAAGAAAGTCTCCAGATGGCTCAAACTGTATTTCTGGATGCAGATCAATGAAATAACAGTCTCTGTCCATCTGATCAGATTTGAGGTCAGATCAGGTTCACTACAACCCCATCTCAGCCCCCAAGCCACTGTCTTACAACTTTATGTTTGAGTAATCGATCATTTGGAATCGTCACATCTGTGGGCGGTTTTCTGCGTAGCATTTCTTTTCTCTACTGTCCCTTATCTTTTCTGCCATAGCAACACATTGTTAGCATTCATGCCTGATGCCTTGCTATGTATCAAGGATGGGCAGTGATTTCTGAATATTTCAAGTCTAGTTAAAATAAGAAGGTCTGAAGAATTTACAGATGCAGTAGATCTGATGGTTTTCTAGTTGAGGTCTAGTTAGCTTCTGTTGGCATAACACCTACTGCTCACTGTCCTTCCTGAAATATAATTAACTGTTTTTTTAAGTAGTTTTGAAAGTGAAAACTAAAATCAGGGTTGTATTCAGCTTCACTGCCACAGTACAATCAACCCCCTCCACATTAATCTACTGGACCAGAGACAGTAAAATAAAGCTTCCTGGCTTGCAGCACATGTCTCTGCACCCGAAGCCTCAGAGGGTTTTTTTTTCAACTGCAGGACTCGGGTGTGTAAACTACATCTTAACTATGTGGGACACGATTGTTTTTTAGGCAAAAACATGAAACAACAGCAGCCCTAAATCCTAAAGCAGCAGCTGAAATTAAAACTTATTAAGGTGTTTTCTCTGCTTTTAAACACTATGTTGTCGTGCTTACACTAGTTGAGCTATAGCCATGAAATCAGCTAAAAATCCTTTAATAAACGTCCAGACGTACAGCTACTATCATTCTACTTTGACCCAAAACATTTAAGCAAACATTTTTTCGGATTCACAAACACCTGTCTTCTTGGTTGCAAAGTTTGATTCGTCTTATTTCAACGTTCTTCCGTGAGCATTCTAACTTTCTTCTTGGCTTCAAGTTTACCAACTTCCCTGAGAAGTCTGATCTACTTTTGCTAAGTGTTCAGTGTTTCCCCCACCATTATACAGGCGGGGTGCCCCACCCCGTCAACAGAACTGAGCACCCCGCCTACCAAACTGAACTTGCCCCTCCCACCCCCACCCGGCACTGACGCATCACTAAGCTAGCAGCGCAAAATACAGGCTCTCTAGCTAAAAAGCCAAAGGCAGCACTCACGTTGCCTCTTCCCTCATGTTGAACGCCCCCCGTCCCCGCTCAAAAACTGTTAGTGCAAGCTGCGCTAAGACATGTCTCCGTCCCCACATCAGCAAAAATCATGGATGAGATGAGCACCCCGCCATGGCAAGCTACCTACAGGAAACACTGGTGTTTGAAGCAAAATGAAAAAAATAATTAAGATGTAGTCTGTCACAGACTGGCAGGCCATTTTTAAAACATTTAAAATATTTTCTTGTGGGCCAAAATAATTTGTATAAAGGGCCTGACCTGGCCCATGCACCTTCACAGTTTGACTGTGTAAGAGCATGAAAATGATCCAGTGTATTTTTCAGTGCATTTCACTTCATTTCACCTGGAAGCAGTTACATTTCATTCAACCAGGTCACACGCACACAACAAAAACAAAACAATAAAAGATACAAAACAAAAATATGATTATGTTTCCTGCATAAAAACAGGATTTGATCTGGACTCAGCTCAACTTTCAAAGTTACATATTTTAGTTTGATGGGTGTTTTGTGGTACAAGTTATTGTGTGTTGATGGTGGAGAACACAATAAGTCAAGTGTCCAAAGAAAAACACAAAAAGTAAATAAAGTAAAGCAATGATCAAACAAGAAAACTTTAGTCTGCATGAGTAAACTGTATAACTAACTAGCAGAAGTCACATTTGACAGTATTTTACAGCATACAGAGGACTTTAAAACAACTTTTCAATAGGAATATTTAACATAGACATAATGTCAGCAGCTGTGAAAACTGCATTTATAACTAACTACATTTTTATGTTGATATACCCAATCCTGATAATATTGTCACTACACGGCCTACATTTAAGTTGAGTCACGTTTGGGTGCAGATAATATATTTGTATGTTTTATTCTTGTTGCTGTGAGACTGTTTTTAACTTTAATTAACAGCTAAAGTAAAATTGTAGTATTTAAAAAGCTTCATAAATGATGCACCGGTCAGAGATGCCACAGGTCTGCGTGTAACTCCTTTGATAAGCCAGCACAGAGAAACTCCACACGATCTAACATTCAAGTAGATTAAATCAATAATAAATCACCGGGTAACGTCAAACAAATAACTCATTTAACTCAAATGCGAATCTTAAGAGTATAAAACAGTAAGTATTTATATTCGGCTCTATTTATTTTTATTTTGTTACTCGTATTATCAGCATATTTTTGACAAAACGTCAGATATACTCACTCAAAGAAGCTCCAGTGACTCCTCTTTATTTACTTCCTGCTTCCTGATACACGTTGCCTGGACGCAACAAGCCCCGCCTCCGCTCGCAGCCCATTGGTCCGTTTCTTACACAGTAGGAAGTTTCTCGGGTACAGTACAGTGTATAATTTAATTTAATTTGTTTTATTTAACTCTTCACTTTCATTTATTTATGGTAAATTTCTATTTCATAGAAGCAACAAATTTTAACATTTGTAAAAATACACAAAAAAAAAGATATAAAAGCACACAAATACTTAAAACTAAATGGAGATATGAAATTATTATTATTATTACTGTTATGACACTTTAATTGGACATTTCACACTTTATCCATGTTGCTGATTTCTTACCCATAAGCTGCTTTACTCATACACATCTGCTCACAGTTGACTTTTGTTCAGGCTGCTGTTTTAATACACCTCATTTATATTAATATTGTTAGTGTATATGTTAGATCCCTATACTGTTTATTTTTATTTATACTTATATATATTGCTTTTTTCGGTGTAACTGGGACCTTGAGTACACAATTTTGTTCCACCTCATGTACCACATGTGATCTGAATGACAATGAAGTCACCTTGAACCTTGAACCTCTTTGAAACTTGTTGAGATATTTCTTTATTTTCATATTAAAGAAAGTCTCATTTTGGGGCACCATTAAAGGTTTTCATTGCAACGTATTAAGTCATATTTTTCTTAATGGTTATCTTGAAATACATCAGATGGTGCACTTTGAAGGGGTGTCCCAGACCTACTGAATGTTTCTGACATGTGGTTTCATACTCAGAGCAAATGTCTAAAACCACCTGGCATCTCCAGTCACATGTTGGGCCTACATCGGGCTGGCCTTACAGTAAAATAAACAATAATAATAAACAAGTATGGCTGCTCACAAATTGTCCAGTATTCATGACTTTGTAATGTGTAACTTCACAGCGCAAGTACAAACACTTTAACACTTTAACAGTACACCGCATTCTTTTCAAATGTGCCTAATTAAAATAGAAAAGAACAATTGAAAAAAGCTGAGTGAGATCAATTGACCGCTGTTTGTCGGGACGAACGGAGGGACACCAGGCAGCTCCGCAGGCACCGTGCAGTCTCTCCAGTCTTGTTTACTCCATTTACCTATGTTTGTTTACCTCTGTTTGTTTATCTTTGACTTCCAGTAGAAGTCTGGGCTTTGTCATGTTCAAAGATACTCAGATACTAATGATAGTTGGCTGTGTCAAAGATGGACAAGAGATGGCATACAGGAGCCTGACTGAGGACAGGTCCAACCATCTGCAGGACCTCCAAGACCAAAGAGGTGGTGATGGACTTCCAGAAGAACCAGCCTCACCTGCAGCAGCTCATGTCCATCGAGGGAGTTTATGTGGAGGTGGACAGGATGTGTAAATAACAGGGTTTTCAGCTGAACTGACTAACTGGACTGGTCTGTGCACATGGAGACAATTTACAGGACGGGACGGAGCCGCCTGTACGTTCTGAAGAAACTGAGGCTGCAGCTGTAGCCACCGAGGCTCTGGACTGCGCCTTATTTTAACAATAACCTGTAAACATTTAGGAACTCAGGAGACCAGCTGCTGGAAGTTTCGTAAAGGAATGTTGTCCCATTCATGGCAGGTCAGCTCTGCACCTGGACTCTTTTCATACGTTGCTGTGATAGATGATGTTTAAAAAAGAAACTGTCCAGATGACCTGACTGAGAAGTAATGGATTTGGTACCTGGACGATTGAGCATGAACTTTGTTGTTTTTTATCAATGATGTTTGTGGTTCAACATCGTCCTGCTGAAATACGAAGGCCTTCCCTAAAGTAGGCATCATCTAGATCAGGGGTGGGCAATTATTTTTCCCATGGGGCCACATGAGAAACAACAAATATTGTGGAGGGCTGGCACAAATGACTTTTTCATTCAACCTTTATTTAGACAGGTAAATCCCATTGAGCCTCGAGGACTCATTTACAAGAGATACCTGATTTCAACTTAACTCAATACTGCATAATATTAATAGTATTTCATTATTAAAAGCAGTACATAGCACTGTTTTAACAAGCTGGTAAGAGTATTTGTTATGATTAAGCAACGAAAAAGCGAGGTTTCCTTACAAAAATGTCATTTATTCAATTAAATTTCCCAGTACAATGGTAAACTGTTAACATTTTTACCATTTGTGACGTTATATTAATGATCATTTTCAGTCACATTCACCCCAAAACTCATTTTGAGTTTTATATACTGCTGGAAAAAGTTCTTAGCTTTCTAAATATATCACAATATTGTCTTTGTACTGTGATTTCGAGTCCCGGTACTGTGCGTGCCTACATTTGTAGTCTAAACATCTCATTTGGTGTTTATCAGTTCTTTTTTCTTGTTTAGTGAGAGAAGTCTAGTCTCTGTTGGGCTTTAACGGAAATGTTAAAGTCAGGTTGAAGGTCTGAGGTGGAGATGTGAAGCAAAGCTGACATCATCAGTGATAGAAGATCTATATCTGGATTTGGTTAACTTCATTTGTTTACATATGTATTTTGTAATTCCCCTTACGGGGGCCGGTGCGAGTCAACCAAAGGGCCGCATGTGGCCCTGGGGCCGTACAATGCCCAGGTATGATCTAGATGGAACATGTTATAATATCTCTCTAAATGTTTCTGCATTTATAGCTTCTTTCCAGATGTGTGAGTTGCCCATACCAGTGGCACTAATGCACCCCCATACCATGAGAGAAGCAGGCTTTTGAACTGCACGTTGATAACAGGCTGGATGGTCTCTCATCTTCTGAATACAATGGTGCATTATATTATGCATTATGTGACGTTGTTTTTTTTTTATAACATTTTGAACTTGAATTTTTCTGACTGCAAAACAAAAATTTTACAGTTTTGACTTTTGTGATAGCAGAGGGTGGTGGTTCAGAATTTCTTCACATTATGCTTCTTTTTTTTGCATGATAGAGCTTTAACCAGCCTGTAGATGGTTTGACAAACTGTTTACAGACAGTGATGTGTGTGTTCAGATCTGAAACAGCAGGCAGCATCCAATATTCACTTTCAGTCCTTTGAGCTCAAACTTTTGAAAGATCTGATGGACTTATAAACTGGAGCGGCACAATAATGCAGTTGGTAGAGATGCCACCTCTTAATGAGAAGGTTGGCGGTTGAAATCCCAGATGAGGGACTTTCTGGATGAAGTCTGCATGGTCTCTCTGTGCTGCGTGGGTTTTCTCCAGGTACTCCAGTTTCCTCCCACAGACCAAAAACATGCATGTTAGACTGACAGATAACTCTAAATTGTCCCTAGGTGAGAGAGTGAATGGTTGTTTGTCTCCTATATCTCTATGTGTCCCTGTGATGGACTAAAGACCTGTCCAATTGTCCCTGGGATGGACTGGAGACCTTTGAGTTTACATTAAATGACTAAACAGTTACTGAGAGTAAATTTCATCTCAGCAGGTGCTTATCAGAAAATGCTGTAACCAAATTTAAACAATCTCTTCCATCAATGTTTTCCTCTGTCTTGCAGAGTAATGCATCAGAGAACAGTGACTTAGATCATCTAGTTGATCATCTTACAACTTCAATGCAAACTTCATTTAATAAAATTGCTCCATTGAAAAAAAAGTAATCAATCAGAGGAAACTAGCTCCTTGGTTCAATACTGAGTTACGTACTTTAAAGCAGGCATCTAGAAACCAGGAGAGAAAATGGCGCTCTACTAATGTTGAAGAATTGTATTTAACTTGGAAAGATAGTCTGCTAACATATAAAAAAGCTCTCCATAAAGCTAGAACTTTATATTACTCATCTTTAATAGAGGAGAATAAAAATAACCCTAGGTTTCTGTTAGTACTATTGCTAGATTAATTAAAAGTCCCATTTCTGTTGAACCATGTATCCCTACAACTATAAGTAGTGATGACTTCATGAGATTCTTTATAAATAAAATTATTTCAATTAGAGAGAAAATTCAAACCATCCTTCCTTCTACTATCTCTAGTCCCCTGTCAAATGAGGCAACTTTAAAAATTTCACTAGAGCCTGATTTATGTTTGGACAGTTTTTGTCCTGTTGAGCTCTCTGAATTGTCAAAAATAATAACTTCATCCAAACCATCCACATGCCTGCTAGATCCCATCCCAACCAGACTGTTTAAAGAGGTATTTCCCCTAATTAATGTCCACATTTTGGATCTACTTTAATGAATGGTTATTTACCACAGCGCTTTAAGGTTGCTGTAATTAAACCTTTACTTAAGAAGTCTGATCTTGATTCAGAAATTCTGGCCAACTATAGACCTATATCTAATCTAACTTTCATCTCAAAAATTCTAGAGAAAATAGTTGCAGGTCAGTTGCGTGAACATCTACAAAGAAATAATCTGTTTGAAGAGTTTCAGTCAGGGTTTAGAGCTCATCATAGTACAGAAACAGCACTAGTAAAAGTACTAATGATATTCTCATGGCCTCAGACAATAGACTTGTGTCTATACTGGTCCTGTTAGACCTCAGTGCTGCATTTGATACAGTTGATCACTATATTTTACTACAGAGGCTTGAATATGATATTGGGATTACAGGAACAGCTCTAAAATGGTTTAAATCATATCTATCTGATAGATTCCAGTTTGTAAATGTAAATAATAAATATTCTTCATACATGAAAGTTATTCATGGAGTTCCTCAGGGCTCAGTTCTTGGGCCAATACTCTTTACTTTATATATGCTTCCATTAGGTAAAATTACTACAAGCATGTCTTAAAGACATTAAAACCTGGAAGACCCTTAATTTTCTCCTTTTCAACACAGACAAGACTGAGGTTTTGGTTTTTGGACCTGAGCACCTTAGGAATTAATTTTCCAGTCTTTCTCCCTCCTTAGATGGCATTAATCTGGTCTCCACTTCTAATGTTTAAAATCTTGGTGTTATTTTTGATCAGGACATGTCTTTTATCCCCCACATTAAAAACATTACTAGAACTGTCTTCTTCCACCTGCGTAATATCACTAA